ACAATGAGATTCTGTAATTTGGTCAGGGTGCCTCTCAGAAAGCCAGTAGCTCCATGTAACAAGCCCTTTAAGCCTAGCCCCTGTACATCCTAATGTCTGCTGTGTAGACTTGATGTGTTTGCTCCTGCCAGCATGAAGGTCAACTTCCACTGAGGTCTCAAGTGTGGATGGTGTTAGTTTGGCTGCTGTGGCAGACATTCTGCAAACAGTGTACCAGCACATAGATAAGCCCATGAGGAGGTGTCAGAAACGAAGAGGAAGAATGGGAGACACCTGTATTTTATCAGCACAGCCACACTGCCTGGGCAGAGGGGGGGTTGAACAGGTGTTGTTAATGAGGACTGTGAGTGGTTAGCACTCCCTCCTCTCTCACCTCGTCCCTCGCTGAGGCTCTGTGCTGGGGGCAGGAGGTGGCCTTGGTGTGAGACAGATGTGCACAGAGGGAGGAGGAGGAGCAGACACAACATTTATATTTGCTCTGCTGCACCTGGTGGCATAGTTAAATACTGTACTGTTCCTTTTTCCTATATGCTACAAGCTGAAAAGATAAAGCATTTCTGTTCCATGGGAAATCGTTAGATTTTATGATTTATGTTTTGCATAATCCTGTACTCTATTAATGAATCTGAAACTGGCCATTTTTAGTCTAGTTTGATTCTGGACAGATTTGCAACATGGATATTTGTGAATTAAAATGAATTAAAATGTCATTATTACTTCTGAAATTGAGCCTCAGGAACTCAGGAACTCCCCTACCCCACACCAAGCTGAAATGTTCTAAGTCAGTCCTATCTTAACGATTCAGACATTCCAGTTTCTGGCAGAAAATCCTGTCTTGTTTTACTCCTATCTGTTAACAACCCATCAAGTCTGATTCCAAGGGCAAATTTCACAGCGTGCTTTTAACTCTGCTGTATACACCACAGGAAACCATATCTGAGCTATTTCTGGTTGTTGTACATTTTGATTATCAAACAAGAGAGATTATGTGTTGATTGCATGAGTGGAAGAGAAAAGAAGGATATTATTAAGGAAGTTCTTCATCATTCTTCTTGAGTTGAGGAGGCTTGGGTCGATGTCATCTTGGCTGTTTTATTTTTTTGTGGTGACTTCCAGACAGCAGAGGCTGTGAAAAAAAGTGTTCAGCTATAATGAGTGACACAAAAGAGTGTATGTGGTGTGTATGTGGAAATCCAGAGGAGGTTTGATCTCATCAAAGCCCTGAACACTGTGGTCAATTGCCCTTTTGGGACAATTTGAACCTAGGACTCTTCCATTTAAACAAATAGATGGTGAATGCTATCAAACCCTACCCATCCTATAGCAATTCTTCTATTTTCAATGGTAAAAAAACATTTACAGATGGTGGCTAGCTAGCGATATTATTGGACAAAATAGATAACTATATGTTGTCTGGAATATAAGATAAGATCACTTTATACAATTTCTTGCATTAGGAACTTGTCTTTTTGCGTACACACAGACGGGGGAGAGAGAAGTTTGGGGTCAGAGCGCAGGGTCAGCCATTTATACGGCTCCCCTGGAGCAGCTGGGTTTAAGGGCCTTGCACTGGGGCCCACAGGCGTAGGTCCTTAGCCACAGAGACACAGCTCTGCCCCCCTTTATATTTTTTTAAAGTTATATATTTTTATCTTATGTCTTATAAACATTAGGAAAATGTGAGTCTGGGACATTCTGTATGCACGATTCCATATCATAACTTAAGACCGGAAATGTGTTAGGAAACGTGAATCTGTGACATCAGTTTTCCTAAATGCATACTTAGGACACCCTATCTCTAAGCACAAGATAAGACTGGCAGCTAGGATGTTTCTGTAAGTGGCCCCAGAATGGAGTGCAGTATTCATCTAACTAGGTCACTGTGCAGCTGCAGGATAACCTCTCCCAGCTTGTATCCTACACTCTTTGTTTTGTATCCAAACGCCTTACTCGCCCTTCTTTTTTTAATCGATTCTGTGCTGTGCCTGGGCTCTGACAGCGCAGGGCCTCCTACAACTCTTCAAGCTCCTGCCCTGGCGTTTGAAGTCATTCACTTGCCATGCGGCCCGAGCTCTGAGCTTGGGTTTTTTTCCCCCTGAAGCTGAGTAAAGGAGCGTGGGGGCGAGGAAAGCTGTCTAAAGAGAGATGAAGGGCTAAAAAACAACCAGCTTACATCTGAGCTGCCTGTAATAGCGAGGTGTTACTGGAGCGTCCGCGGGTTTCTGTCCTCGAGCTGCTGACTCACTGGCAGCTCTGAAACCAGGCTTGCACTCCACAGTTCACGCTAGCAGGAGAATCGCCTGCCGTCTCCCAGTCAGCAAGAGAGAGCTGAGAGAGCCTATTGATGTTTATTATCTCCACACCGTCACCGTTATTTAAAGCCCTTATCTCTGTGTTCAGCTGAATCACTGCGGGC